GGTTGCGGCCGGCAGAGCGACGGCACCGCGTACGGACCCAGCTGTGCCGGACGGCCCCGGGAGGGTGTGAGGAGCGATGGGTCGAGTTGGAAGGGATTGAAAGCATCAGCGAGCTCCAAATCCCCGTTGCGGGCTGTGTGCCCCCAGCTCGGGCTGCCCGGCTCCCATCCACGCCTCGGGCAGCTCCAGGGATGGGGCACCCACAGCTCTGGGCAGCGGTGCCAGCGCCGCACCGCCTCGGGTGAAGGATTTCCCCACATCCCACCTCAGTTTCACTTCTTTCAGTTCAGTTTTGTGGGAATCGAATGCTGCTTCTGCGTTAGGGCAAGGTAAGAGTTTTTATTTCATGGACTCTGCCGCCATGGCCCTTTTTGGGCGTCTTTCTGTTTTCCTGGGGGTCTCCGATAGTTTCCATCACTTGTGCTCTAGGTGAAGCTTCCCCAGCAATGCGCGCTCAGTGCACAGGGCAGTGATTTATAGGCGTGGAGATGAGGTGGATGCAGGTGGCTGCAGGCACAGAGGCTGCAGCTCCTGTCTGTCCGTCCATCTGAAACACATCTGAGCCTTCAGTTAAGGGCAGGTCGGACAGATCAAAGACCCCGATGTTGGAGAACTGCCAGCATTTGGTGCTGCACAGACAAGACCCGAGTAATAGAGAATAAGAGGAGGAGAAGGTAAATAATTACCACGTACATGCACAGGCAGCAACAGGCTGTGCCTGAAAAGCACCAATACGTATGTAACATTTTCTGATACACTTTGCAAGGATATCCTGCAGGAGGTTGCTGGAACCAGAGAACAAACCACGAGGTGCCCATCTGACCTCAGTCTCTTTCAGTTTAACACCGTCCCCCCTTCATCTCACCGCTCTCTGCCCGCACACAAAGCCGCTTCTCCTGCTGCGCTTCGGCCCCTTCAGGCACCGACAGCCGCAGCGCGGTCTCCCCGCAGCCGTCCCTGCTCCAGGCTGCACAGCCCCTCCGTCGGCCTTTCGCCACACACAGCTGCAGCACCCAGCCATCAGCGTGCCCTTCTCCGGCCCCGCTCCCGCAGCCCCACGGCTCCCGGAAGGGGCTCCCGAGGGCGGACAGACGGGGCCGATCTCCCCCCCCGCTGCTCCTCCGCCAAAACAGCGCAGGCAGCGGCAACCCTCCGCCGAACGCTGCCCCGCAGCACCCCGTGCGGGAACACAGCACCCCCAGCTCTGCCCTTCACCACCAACACTCCTCCCGTGGGGGAGCTGCACCGTGCCCGGAGGTACTGCCATACCGGGACGATGCGCGGAGCGGAGGGAGCAAGCTCCGGGTCCAACTCCCGCGCCCAAAAATCCGTTTAATATAAAGTCCTCTCATCGAGGACGTATCAGATATTAAACTGATAAGAACAGATACTACACTTGATCTTAGCCAAAAGGCCGAGAAGCGATGCCTCCCTCGCTCCCCAAACGCCACCCACCCCAGCGCCCACCCCCGACATCTCACGGACGCGCACACGCCGCACGCACCCACCCTCCCCCGCCGCTCCAGCCCCGCTTCCCACCCCGCGCCCCCCAACTGCGCTCCCCGTCTGCCCGATGGCTGCCCCGCCGTTCCGCGGTTGTTCGTGTTTGAGAACTGCTACCGGCGGCCCTTTCGGCGCAGATTAGCATAGCCCCGCCCCTCCGCCGAAGCCCCGCCTTCCAGCTCATCCCTTTCTCCATTGATGCTCTGCTGGGATGTCTGTCAGGGTCTGTTTGCGATGGGCTGGGATTGGGTTTCCCATTCTGCTCCCTGCTGTGCTCGGGTTCCAGCTGCCAGGCGGAGGCCGATGTGCGGACCTGAATGGGGACGGGATCAGCTCAGCCCTGTGCCACACTGAGAAGTTGTGGGTGTGCAGCAGAGCCGACAGCTTCGTCCTCTGGAGGAAGCAGAAGGCATTCCCACGTTAACCACTCCCATCAGCTTTGAGGTCATTGCAAGGCTGCTGCGCACAGCAAAGCCGTCGGTCAATCCTTCCATCTGCCTCTTTCCATCGCTCGGCGTCTCCAAAGCCTAACCGGACTGCACTTGGCATTAAAGCCTCTTCAGTAAAGAGAAAATGACCGGTCGTTGTCATTGTGTCTCTGCTGAAGGGAGCAGAAGCGCCGATATTCAGACCAGACCCTCCACGCAGGGAGCTCTGCTGCCTCCTGGGGGCCCGGGTTAAAGATGTGAGGAATAAACTTCCTTCCATTTTTGGCCCTCAGATTACCGCCTCCTGTTGCTTCAGGTTGGCAGCGATGATACAGGAAGAATTTCCCTAAGGACTGTGAAAAAGGACTTCAGAGCCCTGGGGCGACAGGTCAGGGGTTTGGAAGCACAAGCTGTGTTCTCCTCTGTCCTTGCAGCTGTAGGGAACAATGAGGAACTCAATATGATGGGGCAACTGAACAAAACCTGGCTCCAAGCCTGGTGTGCCCTGCAGGGGTTGGGTTTTGTGACCTCTGCTCGATTTGCACGAAGCCAGGCCTGCAGGCAGCTGATAGGAGCAGCTTCTCCCACTGGAGGGGTCTTAGGATGGAGTTGGGAAGGTTCATCGGTTGAGTTCTATTCACTGACAGAGTTGATAAACTAGGTATAAAGGAGGTGGGGTGTAGCTGGGGTCATTGGGGCAGAGCCTGTGTGTAACGTGCCGGTGCTTGTGGGACAGGGATGTGCTGGAAAGATCCCACAGCCTCGTGTCTCGGTGAGGGAGGAGGACGACTCACCTTTGTGTAGGAAGAACAGGAGGGTTGGTGTGAGGTTGGTGGCTGCAGACACACCTGAGTGTGGCCCAGAGGTATCAGGGCTACGGCCGCTCCAAAGGAGGCCCAGCTCAGGTGCATTTACAGCGATGCAGGCAGCACAGGAGATAAACGGGAGCTGGAGGCCACTGTGTGCTTGGAAAGCTGTGATACGGTCGCCATCAGGGAAACGTGGCGGGGTGGCTCACAGCTGGAGGGCCGTGGTGGGTGGCTGCCAACGTATCCAAAGAGAGGCGAGGCAGGAAAGGCGGTGGTGGAGCCCTCTGTGCTAAGAAAGAATGCGAATGTATGGAAAGGAATGATTAAGGAGAACGGATGGGTCAGAAGAAAAGGGAAGCCCAGTGAGACTGGCGTTATCATGGGAGTCTGCTCCAGGCCGCCCAACCAGGATGAGGAGGTGGACGAGACGCTTCATAGGCAGTCGGCTGAGGTCTCAAGGTCTCTGCCCATTGTTCTTATGGGGGACTTCACCTTCCCCGACATCTGCTGGATTTATGATACAGCACACAGGGAACAGTCCTGGAGGTTGCCAGAGTGTGGGGGAGAGAAACGCCTGGCACAGCTGGTGAAGGAGCCAACGGAGGAAAGCAAAATCCTGGTCCTGCTGTTTGTTAACAGAGGTCTTGTGGGGGGTGCAAAGGTTGGAAGCCGTCTGGGGGACCGCGATCACGAGATGCAAGATGGCTCCATCCTTGTTGAAGCCTGCAGGAGAGTCAGGAGAGCTGCGGGCTCGGACTTCCGCAGGACAGACTTTGGCCTCTTTAGGCCATGGCTGAGAGCCTCTGCTGGGAGGAAGCTTTGGAGGGAGCCCAGGAAGGCTGGGAACGCGTTAAGGAAGTCATTGTAACGGTGCAGGAGCTGAACTTCCCCAAGCCACGGAAGACGAGCCGACAGGCAGGGAGGCCAGAGTGGCTGAACGGAGACCAGTGGCCGGAATTCAAGAGCAAAAGGAAAGCTCGTGGTGTGCGGAAGAGCGGGCAGGTGTTGCGGTGTCGCGACTTCTGTTGTCAGTATTTCACATCAGATCATCAGCGGCGGTTCACGAGTTAATTTCCGGTTCCGTTTGCTGTTGCGGACTCTGGGTATCCCGACGGGAGGGGAGGGGCGGCATCCCGAGGAGCTGCGGGCAGAGGCGGTGGGGCGGAGCTGCGGACGGGACGCGCGGCGGCTGCCTCTCCCCGCCCGGCCCGGCTCGGCGTCTCGGCTGGCCGCAGGAGGCGCGTGCTGTCCTGGCGCTGTCGTGGTCTGACTCCCATTGCTGACAGCCTCGTCTCTCCCGTGGTGTTTGATTTAGTCAGATGCAGTGCATTGCCCTTCCTCCTCAGATCGTTGCCGTCGTGTTTTCTCTTCGTTAAAACCACCGGCTAGCTCTCCGCCCTTCCCCCTCTCCCGGAGCGCACGGGGCCGGCCGGGTGGCGGCAAACCGTTCGTGCCCTCCTTCTTTTCTTCCTTTCATTCTTGTTTTCTCCTCCCCGGGGCCTGTGCCCCCTTGTCACGGACTTACATCTAAGGATAAACCGTGACGGCAAGCAGCTTGTGATGATTACAGGAACGCAGTGAAGCCACGCAGGGAGACAGCGAGAGCGGGGCTGCGCTTCTCACTGGTGACAGGATGAGGGCAAAGGGCTTCACGTCGTGCCAGAGTAAGTGCAGATGTTCGGAAGCACTTCTGTACAGAAGGGGTTGTTGAGCACTGGGATGGGCTGAGTCACCACCCCTGGATGAGTTTAAAAACCATTTGGACGTGGTGCTCAGGGCCGTGATTGAGCAGAGGGCTGCTGGAGTTGGGGTAGGATGGTCGGCTCGTGGTTTATTGGATCACCTTGAAGATCGTTTCCAACCCGAGCAATTCTGACTCTGTGACTCGTTGCTGTGTTTCTGCTCAAAGTAGCTGTCACGCCGTTCTTCAGGGCAGCGGCTGAACGAGCTCCGTGCTTCTGTGCCAGACATCAGCGCACCGCACCGCCTGCTTCCCGCAGCAAAGAGCCTCCATCTGTCGCTCAGCAGCGCTACGAGGCGGCTTTAAGCCGTCCGCTTCTGCTCCAAGCTCAGACGGCGGGCAGCACCGCAGCCGCGCGGCCCCCCGACACCGCCACGCTGCGCAGCGCCCGCCCCGCGAGCCCGGCGTCCGAGCGGCCGCACTTCCGCAGAGTGACAGCAGGGCGGGGGCGGGGCTTCGGCGAAGGGGCGGGGCTATGCTGATAAGAGCCGCTGGGGCCGGCGGTAGTTCTCAAAACACGAACAACCGCGGAACGGCGGGCCGCCATCGGGGCGGAGCGGGAGCGAAGCGGAGCGGGTGAGAGGTGGGGAGCGGCGGTGGGGCGGCGGGGGAGGGTGGGTGCGTGCGGCGTGTGCGCGTCCGTGAGATGTCGGGGGTGGGCGTTGGGGTGGGTGGCGTTTGGGGAGCGAGGGAGGCATCGCTTCTCGGCCTTTTGGCTAAGATCAAGTGTAGTATCTGTTCTTATCAGTTTAATATCTGATACGTCCTCGATGAGAGGACTTTATATTAAACGGATTTTTGGGCGCGGGAGTTGGACCCGGAGCTTGCTCCCTCCGCTCCGCGCATCGTCCCGGTATGGCAGTACCTCCGGGCACGGTGCAGCTCCCCCACGGGAGGAGTGTTGGTGGTGAAGGGCAGAGCGAAGGCGCTGTTTGCTGCCGAGGGAGCAGTGGCTGCTGTGTTCCCGCACGGGGCGCTGCTGCCCGCTGTTCTCGGCGCTGGGCGCTGCTCGGACGGCGGGGGCGCGCGGAGCCGCTGGTGGGGTTGGGGGTCGCTGGGTGCGACGCAGGGCTCCGATCACGGAGCCGCTCAGCGTTTGGGTCGCTTCCCATTCCCCTCCCGGTTTTGCTCCTCGGTCCTTTGCTTTGACAACAAGATGCTAAAGACAACAAGAAGGGATCCAGGCACATCAGTCCGAAAAGGCCGAAGAGAGCGCACCTCCTCTGCTAAATGGGAAAGCAGAACTGGCTGCAGCAGGTATGGAGGAGGTTGCGGTACTCAGTGCGTTCTCTGCCTCAGTCTTTGCTGGCAGCCAGGATTCTCACATCCCTGAACCTGAACCTCCAGGTGGGAACCGGGGCAGCAAACTCCTCCCTGCTGCAAGGGCTGAGCAAATCTGTGACTGACTGTTGAGAATGGATGTGTACAAGTCCCTGGGGCTGGATGGCGTGCAACCCAGGGTCCTAAGGGAGCTGGCTGAGCTGGCTGCCAGGCAAAGTCCGCAGGGACTGGAAAAAGGGAAACATCAAAGGGAGGAAGGAGGAACTGGGGAGCTACAGGCTGCTGGGTCTCCCCGCTGAGCCTGGGAAGATGTTGGAGCAGATTCTCCTGGAAGAGTTCCGGCACGTGAGGGATGAGCGTGAGATCCGAGACAGCCAGCACTGCTTCACCGAGGGAGGGCTGCGCCTGACCCGTTGGCGGCCTCCTGTGCTGGAGTGACAGCACTGGTGGCCAAAGGGGGACAAAAGCCCCAAGGGGGAGGTCCAAGGAGATGCCACCTCAATGCCTGTCCCTTCAAGACGGCTGCCAACACTGCCAGGATGGTCACTCGCACGTTGATGCTGTGACGGCACTCCACCATGGCCCCAAATAGACACCTCTGAGCTGTAACCAGGGCAGCGTCAGTGGATTTATTGGGGGATGCAAAGTGCCTCAAACATGCTGAAGTGACCCCAAATTTACCTGGCGGCTCCCAGAATGTCCCCTGTGGATCCCGGTGTCCCTGAGATGTCGCTATGCCTCCGTGTCCCCATAGATTTCCCCAAACGCCCCATATTGACTTCAGTGTCTCCTACAAAGCCCCTTCCGCTTCCTGGAGGTCTACCCATAGGTCCCCTCATCCTCCTGGACTGAAGCTCAGCATCCCGTCAGGTGTCCCCAGAGCTCCCCTACAGACACGGATGTCTCTCCCAGACACCCCGCTGCCACACAGCGACGCCGTCCCTCTTCGGGGGTCTTCAGAGGCGGGACGGCGCCCCCCCGGCCACCACCACGGTCTCTCCCACCATGTAGGAGGCGGCGGGGGAGCAGAGGAACGCCACCACCTCGGCCACATCCGATGGCGTTCCCAGCCTGCGGACAGGGGAAGACACCGCAGGGTCGCTCCTTGTCAGCGCCACCACCCCCAGGTCCCCGTCCCCACGCTGAGGCTCTCGGGGCCGTTCCCCACCTGTCGATCCCCATGGTGGACATCACCTGTTCCTTGGTGGCCTCGTTCTCCCACAGCTGCAACAGAGGGACACCGCAGGCTGCTCACCTCCAGCCCCGCCCACCGCAGACCCCTCCCCCCACCGGCTCCGCCCACCCGACCCGTCCCCCCATTGGTTGTCAGATCGTCCGCCGCCAAGAGGCTCCGCCCACCCCACAACCACGCCCAGCCCCCGACCCCCACCCCGCATAGGAGGCCCTGCTTCATGCCCTGCCCCGCTCAGAGCCCTTGGCTGGACAAGATGCTCCTGCAGGTCCTCCCCAACCTTGTGATTCTGTGATTCTCTGACCCGGCCCTCAGGCACAGCTCCACCGCTCTGCATTCCCCACCACGGGGCTCTGAGCACCGCCCCACGGCCCCCCCAGCCCCCCATTCCCATGACCCCCCCCGCCCTCACGGCGGCACTGAAGCGGGTCTGGATGAGGCCGGGTGCGACGGCGTTGAGCCGCACTCCGCGGGCGCGCAGCTCCGGGGCCAACACCTTCACCAGCCCCAGCAGCGCCGTTTTGCTCACGCTGTATGGGCCCAGAGCCTGCGGGGCACAGGAGTGATCACACCAACCCGTCTGTCCGTCCGCATGTCCCTCTGCTGTCTGTCCCAACCACACGTCCATCTGTCCCATCAGCGGCTGCACGCCGTGCGTCCCAGCAGCCATTCCTCCCCCTTGCCCTTCTTCCACCCACCGCCCACCATTCCTCCACCCCACTGTCTGACCGCCCCCACCACCTCCCCACCGCACCGTCAGCCCCTGTCCCACCCTTCCCCCTTCCCAGCAGTCCTCGCCCGCCTCCATTGCCCCCCGCTCACTGGGAAGGGCATAAAGCCGGCCACTGATGTCACCAACACCACGGCGCCTCCACTGCAGGAAGGAAAGGGGGGAGCGCTGTCAGATGGGCCCACCCCCAAGAAGCCCCTCTCTCCATCAAACCCCTCTCTCCCACCACAGCCCACCCCCTCTCACCCTCTCTTCTCCATGTGGGGCAACACCAGCTTCACCAGCATCGCTGCTGCCGTTACGTTCACCTGGAAGATCTGGAGAGGGCAGAGCCATGAGAGTGGGGTGCAGTCAGTGGGTCGTGGTCAGTGCTTGTGGTCAGTGGGGCAGGGTGTGTGTGGGGAGGGGGGGAAGGGGGGCTGGGTCACCTTCTCCCAGGCTGCCTCCTCGACCTCCAGGGTGCTGCACATGACGGGGTTGACGGCGGCGTTGGAGACCAGGATGTCAATGGCGCCATAGGTGTCCAATGCCTGCGGAAGGATTCACCCCAAAGAGTGACTGGGCCCCCACAGACCAGTGGGACGACCCCATAACCCCACGGGATACCCAGATACCGGGTTCAGTGAGGCCTCCACAGACCAATGGGAGCCCCCACCAAACAACGGGATCCCATGGTGACACGTAACCCCATGGGACTACTCACAGACGGGTGGCCCCCCCATCGAGTCCCACCGAATGATGGGATCCCCACGCACCCCACAGAGTGATGGTACCCCAGCAGTTCCCCATAGAACAGTGGAACTTCCACGGTGCTCTATAACCCCATGGGACCTCCCTGACCGCAGAGCTCTTTGACCCCACAGCCCCATCGCACCCCATAGCCTCACTGCCCCCAGTAACCCTTTATCTCCATAGCCCCACCGACCCTGCGTAACCCTATGGGCTCCCACCGACCCCCTGCCCTCCACAACCCTATCGCTCCCCAGTGCACCATATCTCCCCATGTCTCCCTCCCACCTCCACTGCCCCCATAACCCCACATCCCCACCCCTCACCGTCTGCACCAGGCGCTGCCGGTCCTGGGGCTGCCCCACATGGCACACCACCCCGCTGACCTCCAGACCCTGAGCCCGCAGCTTCTGCACGGCCGCATCCACGTTGGGCTGACGCCGGGAGCTCAGCAGCACCCGGGCCCCCGCCGCCCCCAGCCTCTGTGCCACCGCCAGCCCGATCCTGTGGGGAGGGGGAGGCTGGGGGCACTGCGGGGAGAGGGGTTCTTGGGGGAACATGGGGGGGTCGTGGGGACATGGCGGGTCTGGAGAGACGTGGGGATATATGGGATAACGGGGGGGGTTACGGGGTGATGGAGAAACATCGGAAGTGTCTACAGAGTCAGAAGGGTTATGGGGGGACGCAGGGGGGGCTGGGAGGACTTGGGGATTCTGAGTTGATTTAGGCTATGGGGAGGTTTATGGGGAGACGCGTTGTAGGTCACTCACCCGTCGGTGGCGGCGGTCACCAGAGCCACTTTCCCTTCCAGGTTCCTCCCGGAATTAGGGGCAGCCCCCCCGGACAAAGCCCCCAGCCCCGCTCGCCCCATAACGCTCCACATCACCTCACTCCGCCCCACGGCCTTTGCCCTGCGAGGGGAGGGGCGGGAGGAGGGGCCGGGAGCGCTGGGGGGGTCGGGAGGGCCGCCGGGGGGGGGGGCGGCAGGGGGGAGGGGCGGGGAAAAGGAGTTGGGGTCGGGGGGACTGGGAGGAACTGGGAGTTATGGGGGGGCAGCAGGGGAACAGGGGGGCTGAGGTCGTTCCACGATGTATTGGGGCGGTGGGCTGTCCTGGGTGAACGGGAGAGGGACGATGTATTGGGGAGGGACGCAGGGGGGATCTTGGGGAGGGGCTCTGAAGGTTACAGGGGATCGCTGGAGCGCACCGGGAAGAGCCGGGCTGCGCTCGGGTTCCTTCGGACGTTTCCTGGCATGACGGCTGCAGATGGAGCTCAACTGTCTGCAAGGGGTAAAAGGATCCGAGCCCAGGAGCTGGCGGACGTCAGTGAAAGGTCTTTAAACTAGGTAAGAAGGCGGAAGGGGACAAAATGAAGACTGCTGAGGTTAAGGTAGTTCAAGGTTCAAAAGTGAACTTGATGGGTGACGAGGGTGGAGTTCGAAGGGTTGGAGTGTGGCAGGGGAATGGTGCCTGCCTGAAGTGTCCATACAGCAATGCGCGCAGTATGGAAATGAAGAGGAAGAGCTGGAGATCTGCGTGCGGTCACACGGCTGCGATGTCACTGCGATCACGGAGACGTGGTGGGACAGCTGGCAGGGCTGGAATGGTGTCATGGAGGGCTGTGTGCTCTTTAGGAAAGATCGGCCGGCGAGGCGGGGTGGTGGAGTTGCTCTTTATGTGAGAGAGCAGCTTGAATGTATTGAACTGCACCTGGGGGAGAGCGGTGTAGCAGTGGAGAGCTTGTGGGTGAGAATCAAGGGGCTGGTATGGCTGACACCGTTGTGGGTGTGTGCTGCAGGCCCACGATCAGGAGGAGGAGGTTGATGAGGCCTTCCACAAACAGTTGGAAGCGGCGTCACGATCCCAGGCGCTGGTGCTTATGGGGGACTTCAATTATCCAGGTATTTGCTGGAAAAGCAATGTGGCCAGGCACGCGCGGTCCAGACGGTTCCTGCAATGTGTTGAAGACAACTTCCTGATGCAGGTGGTTGAGGAATTGACAAGGAGAGGGGCACTGCTGGACCTTATTGTCACTAACAGAGAAGGGCTTGTCAGGGAAGTAAAGGTCGGGGGCAGCTTGGGTTGTAGTGACCACGAGATGGTGGAGTTCAAGGTCCTGAGTGGAAGAAGTAAAGCAAAAAGTAGGATTGCTATCCTGGACTTCAGGAGAGCCAACTTCGATCTCTTCTGGGCCTACTTGGAGCTGTCTCATGGGCTGGGGTGTTGGAAGGCAAGGGGGGCTGTGAGAACTGGTTGGCATTGAAGCAGCTCTTCTTCCAAGCCCAGGATCGGCGTCCCTGTGAGGAAGAAATCGGAAAAGGGTGGCAGGAGAGCTGTGTGGATGAGCAAGGAGCTCGTGCACAAACTCAAAGGAAAGAAGGCCCATGAAATGTGGAAAAAGGGTCTGAGCACTTGGGAAGAATACAGGAATGTTGTCAGGGCCTGCAGGGATGCGACAAGGAAGGCTAAAGCCTGCCTGGAATTGAATCTGGCAAAGGGGATAAAGGATAATAAGAAAGGTTTTTTCAAGTACGTTAACAGTAAAAGGAAGAGTAGGGAGAATGTGGCTCCCCTGCTAAGTGATGGAGGTGTGCTGGTAACGGGGGATGCTGAGAAGGCGGAGATACTGAATGCCTTCTTTGCTTCTGTCTTCAGTGAAAAAGCTCCCCCTCAGGAATCTGAGACCCTGGAGGTGAGTGAGAGGATCTGGGGAATGGAAGACCTCCCTTCTGTCAGGGAAGAGGTGGTTCAGGAGCGCCCAGGCAACACCAATGTTCACAAATCCATGGGACCCGATGGGATTCATCCAAGGGTGCTGAGGGAGCTGGCAGAGGTGATTGCTGAGCCGCTTTCTGTCATCTTTGAGAAGTCTTGGAGGACAGAGGAGGTGCCTGAAGACTGGAGCAGAGCCAACGTCACCCCGGTCTTCAAAAAGGGCAAGAAGGAAGAGCCAGGCAATTATAGGCCAGTCAGCCTCACCTCTGTGCCTGGAAAGGTGATGGAACAGCTTGTATTGGATGTCATCTCCAGACAACTGGAAGAAAAGGAGGTGATCAGGAGCAGTCAGCACGGGTTCACAAGGGGGAGGTCGTGCTTGACCACCTGGTGGCCTTCTATGATGTTGTCTCTGGCTGGGTGGATAGGGGGAGAGCAGTTGATGTAGCCTACCTTGATTTCAGCAAGGCATTTGATCCTGTCCCCCACGACATCCTTATAACAAAGCTGAGGAAGTGTGGGATGGATGAGTGGACAGTGAGGTGGGTTAAGAACTGGCTGACTGACAGAGCACAGAGGGTCGTTGTTGGTGGTGCAGAGTCCGGTTGGAGGCCTGTAAGCAGCGCTGTTCCTCAGGGGTCGGTGCTGGATCCTTGTTCAACATCTTCATCAATGACCTTGATGAGGGGATGGTGGCCACCCTCAGCAAGTTTGCTGATGATACGAAGTTGGGAGGATTGGCTGAAGGCTGTGCTGCCATTCAGCGAGAGCTGGACAGGCTGGAGAGCTGGACAGTAAGAAACCAGATGAGGTTTAACAACAGCAAGTGTAGAGTCTTGCATCTGGGGAGGAATAATTCCATGCACCGGTACAGGTTGGGGGATGAGCTGCTGGAGAGGAGCTCTGCACAGAGGGACCTGGGTGTCCTGGTGGACGGCAGGTTGCCATGAGCCAGCAGTGTGCCCTTGTGGCCAAGAGGGCCAACGGCATCCTGGGGTGCATTGCAAGGAGCGTGGCCAGCAGGTGGAGGGAGGCGATCCTCCCCCTCTGCTCTGCCCTGCTGAGGCCTCACCTGGAGCACTGCGTCCAGTTCTGGGCTCCCCAGCACAAAACAGACAGGGAGCTCTTGGGAAGAGTCCAGCGGAGGGCCGAAAGATGGTGAGGGGCCTGGAGCATCTGTGCTATGGGGAAAGGCTGAGTGAACTGGGTCTGTTCAGCATGGAGGAAAGAAGGCTGAGAGGGGACCTGATCCAGGTCTGTAAATATCTGAGGTGTGGGGGGCAGAATGGCGAGGCTGGACTCTTTTCAGTGGTGAGTGGAGACAGGACAAGGGGAAATGGTTGGAAACTGCAGCATAGGAAGTTGTGCAGCAATGTGCGAAGGAACGGCTGTGCAGTGAGGTGAGGAGCACTGGAACAGGCTGCACAGGCAGGTGGTGGAGTCTCCTGCTCTGGAGATGTTCCAGACCTGCCTGGATGCCGACCTGTGCAACCTGCTGTAGGAACTGCTTGGGCAGGGGGTTGGACTCCATGAGCTCTGCAGCTCCCTTCCAACCCCTACAGTTCTGTGATGCTGTGATTTCCGGCGTCGCTCGGCTCGGCTCGGCTCCTCTCGGCCGCGGCATGGCCCCGCCGGCGGGGGACGTGTCCCGGGAGCTGCAAGGTAGGCGCCCAGCGCCCCTGTAACCCCAAATCTCCCCACTTCACCCCAAATCCCATCCACATCCCTCCATTTCACCCCCAAACCTCTCAAAATCCTTCAATTTCCCGCTAAATCCCCTCCGTTTTGCATTCAATCCTCCCATTTTCCTCTAAATCCCACCCCCGTTTCCCTCAGATCTCCCCATTTACTCTCAAATCCCAATTAAATGCTTCTATTTCCCCCCAAATCCGTCCACAGTTTCCCTCAATTTCCCTCAAATCCTGCCCAAATCCCCTCATTTTCCCCGAAATTTCTCAATTTCCCCTCATTTCCCCCCGTATCTCTCTTCGTGGGATCCCCCATAAACTCCCATGGGCTCAAGGCCCCCATAACTCGCTCCATATCCTTCCTCATCCCCCATCCAATCCCCTCATACGTCCCCAGACCTCCTCAGTGCTCCCCTCCATCACCCCATAGCGATCCATGTTCTTTCTATGGAGCCACCATATTCCATCCATAGCCCTCCTATCCCCCTCTGTACCCCCCTAATCCCCAAATCCCTTCCATTGACCCTCCCATCACCTCAGCACCCCTCCTTATTCTCTCCACACTCCCCGCATTCCCCTCCACGGCCATCCCGTAATCCCGCCCCAATGACCCTATAGCATCCCCCCGTAATCCCCTAAGACATCCACAACCCTTCCGTAGGCCCCTAACGTACAATATACCCCCATAAACTTCCTAGCCCCACACCCGCCCCCCAGACCCCTTCCGTGCTCCCCCACGTCCCGCCGTAACCCCCCACACCCCATAACCCCCACATTCTGCCATGACCCCCTGGAGCTCCCAGCCCCCCTCCTTTCCCCCCGCGCCCCCGAAGCTCCGCGTCCGCGGCTCCGGGCCGGGCGCTGTCCGTGGTGCTGAAAGCGGCGCTAAACGGCGATGGGAGCGGGGAGGGGGCGGCCTGGGGGGCGCTGGGGAGGGGGAGGTTCCTGGGATGAATCCTTCCCCTCGTAACCCCGACCCCGTTCAGAAAGCATCCGCCGGGCCCTGGGGCGGCCCCGCATCCACCTGCTGCTGCGTGCCCGCCTGGAGACCAAACCCCGTCGGCTGGAGGAGAGGATCCTGGTGGGAGCTGGGAGGGATGAGAGGAACGGGAGGGGGATCGGGGCCCTGGGAGGGGGACTGGGGGCGCTGAGAGGGATCCAGGGTTATTGGAAGCACTGGGAATACTGGAAGCGGGCTCAGGGGTACTGGGAGTAGAAATGGGGACACTGGGAGGGGGTCTGGGACATTCGCTATTACAGACCTAAGGCTTATTGGGAGCACTGGGAGGGGGTCAGAGGCTACTGGGAGGCACTGGCACTGAAAGTGGGGACACTGAAACGGGTCTGGGGGCACCGGGAGGTACTGGAAGCACTTGAAGGGGAAATGGGATGCTCTGGGAGGGAGGCTGATGGCACTGAGAAGGGAAATGGGCAAATGGGGCTCTGGGAGATCACTGGGAGCACCGGGGGGCACTGGGAGAGGTCTGAGCTCTTACTGGAAGCACTGGGAGCCCTGGGTGCCAGCCTCTGTCCCCCAGGCCCTCACTGCCTGGCGCCTGCACCTCTTCGGCCCCACAACACCGGCCAAGGTGAGCCCTTGCACGGGAATTTGCACGAGTGGATGTGCTCAATGTCCACGCGGATTGATACGGGGATGTGCAGAACGATTTGCATAGGGATGTTCAGAGGGATCTGGTTGTGCCCAGCACGACCCACTGCATGAGAAACCACGTGAGGCTTTGCACTGTTCCCTGGCACAAGCATTTCATGAGCATTTGCACAGGGTTCACAGAAGCAGCTGCTTGCACCAGCCTGCCTTTTTGCACAGACATTCACATGAAAGCTTAGATGGGAATTCGCACAATAATTTGCACGAGGATTTGCACAAATGTATGCACGAGGGTTTGCATGGAGTCCATCCTCTTGCAGCAGGGTTTTCATTCTGCTGAGCCCTTTCCCACCTGTTTGCACAAAGATTGCCATGAGAAATTGCACGTGGATTTGCATGCCCATCTGTGTGCCCACGTGCACAAAGGTTGCTGTTTGCTGCCAGGCCGAAGGTTCCCTGAGCGTGCTGGAGATTCGCTGCATCAGTGCCACCAGCCCCACCCAGGTACCCACCGCCTCCCAGTGCAGACCAGTATGGGCCAGTGCGGACTGGTGACCCTCCACTGCTTGCCCAGAATCCTGCCGAGCCTCTCCGTGTGCCCCAGTGCCCTTCCAGTGACTGCCAGTACCGCCCCAATGATCTCCTTAAGTCATTGCTTTACCTTATAATGTTTCCCAGTATGGACCAGTATGGACCAGTGGCCCTCCACTGCCTGCCCAGTCTCCATCCACTGACTCCCAGTGCCTCTCGGGCCCTTACAGTATATCCCATTACCTCCCATTATGGACCAGTGTGAACCAGCCAGCCTCCACCACCTTCCCAGCCCCCTCCCAGCACCTCCCACCCCCCTCCCAGCACATCCCAGTGCCTCCCAGTCCCTCTCAGGACATGTCCTGTTCTATGTCCATCCCCCCCAGTCTTGCTGTATGTCAGCTTTTCTTCCATGACATCCCAGTGTGTTTCCAGAACCTCCCTGCACACCTCCAGTCTCTCCTAAAGCCCTCCTCGCCCCTCCCAGCACCCTCCCAGTATATTGCAGTGCCCTTCCAGTTTGTACAAGTCTCTCCAGTCCCCTCCATTCCCATTAGAGAGCCCCAGTCCCCCCAGGGCTCTCCCAACACCCCCCACCAATGCCTCCCAGTGCCTCCCAGTACACCCAGTTCCTAGGTGCGCCTGGACACGGAGCGGGGTCCCCTGGCCCTGGCCCTTGCCAGCCCTTCTGCTGCCGCCTGCCTGGCCCGGGAGCTGGGAGCCGCCCTGGGGCGGGCCCTGCCCTGTGCCCCCCCCGTGTGAGCCATGCTTGGGATGTGCTGGGAGAGGGTTGGGGCGGGCGGTGGGGGGGAGCACCACCCAGGGAACCTTGAGAGGTCCGTGGGGAAATCTTGGGGGGTCCTGGGGGATCATTGGGCCGCGTTCGCGCTGTTCTCTGCGCCGCTCTCGGCAGCGCTTCTGATCTCCGTCCCCGGCGCCCCGCGGTCCCGCCGTGCAGCGCCGTTCCCCAGCACAGCTCCGCCTTTGCACGCTCCCTGCCACGGGCGGGTCGACGAGCAGAGTCGGGACCCTGAACTTCAGGAGGGCAAACTTCTGTCTGCTGAAGGAACTGCCGGGTGCGATCTCCTGGGAAACTGTGCTTAAGGGCACAGGAACAGAACTGAGCTGGCAGCTCTTCAAGGACAGAGGGGGATTAAAAAGATGATCAAAGGGCTGCAGCACCTCCCTACAAAGAGAGGCGGAGGGAGCTGGGCTCTTCAGCATGGAGAAAAGCAGCTGCGGGGTGACCTCAGTGCAGCCTGCAGTGCCTGAAGGGAGCCTAAAAACAGGAGGGGAGTCAAATCCTGGAAAGGGGAGATGACAGCAGGATGAGGGGAAATGGTTTGAAGCCGAGGGAGGGCAGCTGGAGGTTGGATGTCAGGGGAAGTTGTGTGCTGTGAGAGCGGGGAGGGGCTGGAACAGCTGCCAGAGAGGCTGTGATGCCCCGTCCATCCCTGGAGGTGTTGGAGGCCAGGTTGGATGGGGCCCTGGGCAGCCTGGGCTGCTGTGCAATGCGGAGGTTGGTGGCCCTGCGTGTGGCTGCAGGGCTGCAGCTTCGTGATCCTTGAGGTCCCTTCCAACCCGGGCCATTCTGTGATTCTGTGACACCCTTCTGCGAGCACAAGAGCTCTCCACCCCCCAGCAGAAGAAACTGAGCAGAGGAGGCGGGCGGCCGGCATGGCTGAGCAAGGAGCCACAGCTGAATCTGAGGGAAAAGAGGGAAATGTACAGGAAGTGGAAGCAGGGTTGTGTAGCCTGGGAGGAACACGGGGCTGCTGTGTGCGTGTGCAGAGATCGATTAGGAAAGGCAAGGTGCAGATGGAGCTGAACTTGGCGAGGGATGTGAAAGATAACAAGAAGGGGTTGTGCAGGTGCATAGGCAGGAGGAGACAGGCCAAGCAGAGCGTTCCCCTCTGATGAAAGGCAACGGGGAGCTGCCTTCCTCAGACATGGGAAAAGCTGAGGTGCTCCATGAGTGCTTTGCTTCGGTCTTCACGGGTGGTCAGGCTCCTCCCCATGCCTGCCACGACCCTGAAGCTCCAGGTGTGGGTGAGAGCAGCCGATTCCATCCAGAGGGACCTGGACAGGCTGGAGAAGCGGGCCGTGAAAACGTGATGAGGGCAATAAGGCCAAGCGCAGGGTGCTGCAGCGGGTCGGGGCAATGGCAGCTGTTGATGCGGGCTGGGCGAAGATGTCCTTGAGAGCAGCCGTGCGGAGAAGGACTTGGGGGTCCTGGCGGAGCAGAAGCTGGACGCGAGCCAGCAGTGTGCGCTCGCAGCCCGGAAGGACAACCGTGATCCGGGCTGCGTGAAAACGGGGCGGCCAGCAGCGACAGGGAGGCTCCAGCAGCGGCTCCGGGCGCCCCCGCCGTCCGAGCAGCGCCCAGCGCCGAGAACAGCGGGCAGCAGCGCCCCGTGCGGGAACACAGCAGCCACTGCTCCCTCGGCAGCAAACAGCGCCTTCGCTCTGCCCTTCACCACCAACACTCCTCCCGTGGGGGAGCTGCACCGTGCCCGGAGGTACTGCCATACCGGGACGATGCGCGGAGCGGAGGGAGCAAGCTCCGGGTCCAACTCCCGCGCCCAAAAATCCGTTTAATATAAAGTCCTCTCATCGAGGACGTATCAGATATTAAACTGATAAGAACAGATACTACACTTGATCTTAGCCAAAAGGCCGAGAAGCGATGCCTCCCTCGCTGCCCGGACGCCACCCACCCCAACGCCCACCCCCGACATCTCACGGACGCGCACACGCCGCCCGCACCGACTCCTCCCCCGCGACCCCACAGTCACTCCCCACCCCGCTCCGCTCCCGCTCCGCTCCCGTTCCGCCCGATGGCGGCCCGCCTTTCCCGGTTCTTGGCGTTTGAGAACTACCGCCGGCCCCTGCGCCGCAGATTAGCATAGCCCCGCCCTTGGCGCAACCCTCCACTATTGGGCGTGGCACCGCAGGCCCCGCCCCCAGCACTGGCCCCTCCCCGCCCGCCCAACTTCTTCCCGTTACCGCAGAGAGCGGCGTTGCTGCTGCGCGTGCGCACTGCGATCGGCGGGGCAGCGCGGCAGCCATCGTAGGGCTGTGCTGGGGGCGGGGAGACGCGGAACCTTCGGCACAACGAACGCGGGCTGAACGGCCTCGGGCACCTCAGGGAACGGAGCGCCGCGCGGCTGCGCTTCCTCTCCGTGACTGCGGGCCGCCGCTGCCGAGTCGTTGCTCCCCGGCGGCAGCGGCGCTACGAGTAGAACGGCGGCCGTTTTGCGGTCGTGCGGAGATGGGATCGGGATCGGGAACGGCACGGCGCTGGGGAAGTCGCGAGGGGAGACGGGGAGAAAGGAAGGCGGAGGGACGAAGGGCAATGAACGCAATGAGCCTGTTCATATCCTTGTCCAGGGTTTCTGATTCGTAAAGGCGTTCTCACGCTCTCCAAGGCTGGGATGCGGAACTTGTCCTGAGCTCAGAGCCGTTCCAGACGGCTGCGCAGAGCAGGGCTGCACTCTCCGTACCTATAAATTACTCCATCTGCCTGCTGAGCGTGCGCCAACGTGGAAAGTTCATCCAAAGGAAAGTGATGAAGACCTTCAGAGAGCCCCGGTGAAATCCAGAGAGCCCCAGGAGGAATGACGAGTACCAGGACAGGACACAGAACAGCGGCACAGACCGTGAGATAAAACACTTGTCTCATTAATTACAACGCAGAAACAACGTTCCACTCCCAGTCTTTATTCCTCTCTGTTTGCTCTGCGGGATGTGACCAGTGAGTGCACCCTCGTGGGGTTCAGGTCCTGCACACGAACAGCTCACACAGCCATACGCACTGCACTGTCACACGAGCTCCTCCTTTCCCAAGGACTCTCAGATACGAGCTGCTGTCCCTCTGGCCGTGCTCAGAGCTATTCAGGCTGCTCGAGTGCCCCCCGACTGCTCTCCCTTTGTTCACCATCAGCTCCAGCACAGAATGTCCCACTGCCACCCGCTGCTCCAGCTCAGAACATTCCCAGTGCTCCCTATGGCACAGTGAGCCGCTCTTACAGCAGGCTCTGTGGAACGCGAGGAAATGTCTGTGCGCGTTGTGAGGCCAAAGATAGCAGTGTTCCATCGGGACTGCAGTGCTCCTCGTGGGGAAAAGCCATAGGGCAGAACTGTAAGTGCATAAAGCCTCCTGCAGGGCTGCGGCTGTGTGACAGCACCGGGAGCGACATCACCCAGAGCCAAAGTCAGACGGCGGCTGGGAGCGATGGCACCACGATGTGACACAGAGCCCAAAAGGAGAGCAGAAATACCCCAGCCTGGGGTCCAGCCACACACGGCAGCACATTGGGATTGTTCCATGCTGCTGTGACCTTTGAGGACCCTCAGAGGACCCTTCTTTTAAGGCACGGTGCAATTAAACGTGTTCCCTGAGAGATAACGAGCTGCAGAGCTGCGTGATTCCATGCAGGAACAGCTGCAGGAGTGCTGGAAAGAGGCAGATTGCAGCACACAGCCATGGCATGGCCGTGCCCAGCAGCAGTGGCACGAGCTGGCTGGGCTGGGATCTGTCACTGTGGATTTGTCCCATTCCTCCAGAGGACGAAGCTGTCGGCTCTGCTGCACACCCACAACTTCTCAGTGTGGCACAGGGCTGAGCTGATCCCGTCCCCATTCAGGTCCGCACATCGGCCTCCGCCTGGCAGCTGGAACCCGAGCACAGCAGGGAGCAGAATGGGAAACCCAATCCCAGCCCATCCCAAACAGACCCTGACAGACATCCCAGACAGACAGACGGACGCACGCACTGACCAGATGCTGAAGGCGCTGCCGTCGGCCCACGTCCAGCGCTCGTCCCCTTCTGCCCTGTGCAGCCCAATCCAACGGTTTGCCGGGCCCAGGTACCGCAGCATGAATTCCTTTGGACAAACCCAGGTGTGACTGCAGCCGTTGCAGCACTTTCCCCCCTCAGGCCCACGTCTCAGCTGCCACCTCGCTGCAAGGCATCTCCTTGTGGCTTCGGCGTGGGGCCACTTGGGGGCACCGGGAGCCGTTGCTGCGGCCCCACAAGTGTGGGTTTCCCACCCCCGTGTTGGCACTGCGGCTCACGCCCCGCTCTCACCATCTCCTCCTCCGTGTCCACGGTGGCCAGGGAAGCTCCGAGGCGCTGGCAGTGCTCCCTGCTGCTGTCCCAGTCACTCTCACTGGCCGAGAAATAGAAGCATTTCCCTTGCAAACCGAGCCAGGCGTCGGGGCAGACGTGGGAGAAGGGTGGGCGAGGTGAGCACGACTCAGAATGCTGGAGCACTGAGAGGGAGAGAGTTGGGCGAGTGAGAGGCAAAGAGCTGAAATAATTGTGATTAAATTGTGATTAAACTGGGATTAAACTGTGATGCACTTGGAAAGTGATGTTCTAGTCGCCATCACAGAAACATGGTGGGATGGCTCCCATAACTGAAATACCACCGCTGAGGGATATCGGCTCTTCAGAATGGATAGGTGAGGTAGGAAGCCTGGGGGAGTGTCATGGTTCTGTGTTCTTTTGTTTTTGGGTTTCAGTATTCCACATCAAAACATCATGTAGTGTACAGGGCATTGAAGTGTTAATGCCCCAGTTCCGTGGCAGTAAACTGTGGCAGTTGGTGGTACAGTGGAATGCTGAAACCCAAAATAAAAAACATAGAACCATGACAGGGAGTTGCCCTCCATGTCAGAAAGCAGATAGACTGTGAGAAGCTCCTTCTGAGAACCAGTCAGGAACAGGTTTAGAGACTGTGGGTTAGAATCAGGGATAGGACTAAGAAAGGCCAGCTGGTGATAGGGCTGCACTACAGGCGGCCTGATCAAGGGGAGATTGTTGTTGAAGCTTCTTGCTTCAGATGCAGGAGGCACTGTGCTCACAGCTCTTGTCCAGGTGGGGACTTCAACCATCCTGGTATGTGTCGGAAAAGCCACACAGTGAGCTGCAAGATGTCCAAGCATTGATGACAATGCTGCCGTTCTGTGTCCTGTCCTGGTACTCGTCATTCCTCCTGGGGTTCTCTGGATTTCACCGGGGCTCTCTGAAGGTCTTCATCACTTTCCTTTGGATGAACTTTCCACGTTGGCGCACGCTCAGCAGGCAGATGGAGTAATTTATAGATACGGAGAGTGCAGCCCTGCTCTGCGCAGCCGTCTGGAACGGCTCTGAGCTCAGGACAAGTTCTGCATCCCAGCCCTGGAGAGCGTGAGAACGCCTTTACGAATCAGAAACCCTGGACAAGGATATGAACAGGCTCATTGCGTTCATTGCCCTTCGTCCCTCCGCCTTCCTTTCTCCCCGTCTCCCCTCGCGACTTCCCCAGCGCCGTGCCGTTCCCGATCCCGATCCCATCTCCGCACGACCGCAAAACGGCCGCCGTTCTACTCGTAGCGCCGCTGCCGCCGGGGAGCAACGACTCGGCAGCGGCGGCCCGCAGTCACGGAGAGGAAGCGCAGCCGCGCGGCGCTCCGTTCCCTGAGGTGCCCGAGGCCGTTCAGCCCGCGTTCGTTGTGCCGAAGGTTCCGCGTCTCCCCGCCCCCAGCACAGCCCTACGATGGCTGCCGCGCTGCCCCGCCGATCGCAGTGCGCACGCGCAGCAGCAACGCCGCTCTCTGCGGTAACAGGGGAAGAAGTTGGGCGGGCGGGGAGGGGCCAGTGCTGGGGGCGGGGCCTGCGGTGCCACGCCCAATAGTGGAGGTGTGCGCCAAGGGCGGGGCTATGCTAATCTGCGGCGCAGGGGCCGCCGGTAGTTCTCAAAACGCCAAGAACCGGGAAAGGCGGGCCGCCATCGGGGCGGAACGGGAGCGGAGCGGGAGCGGAGCGGGGTGGGGAGTGACTGTGGGGTCGCGGGGGAGGAGTCGGGGCGGGCGGCGGGTGCGCGTCCGTGAGATGTCGGGGTCGCGCGTGGGGCCGGTTGGTGTTCGGGCAGTGATGGAGGCATCGCTTCTCGGCCTTTTGGCTAAGATCAAGTGTAGTATCTGTTCTTATCAGTTTAATATCTGATACGTCCTCGATGAGAGGACTTTATATTAAACGGATTTTTGGGCGCGGGAGTTGGACCCGGAGCTTGCTCCCTCCGCTCCGCGCATCGTCCCGGTATGGCAGTACCTCCGGGCACGGTGCAGCTCCCCCACGGGAGGAGTGTTGGTGGTCAAAAGCAGATCTGAAAACGGCGGAGCGCGGCTGCCTCCAGCGGTTCTGCCCCGCTCCCGCCGCTCCCGGCACCTCAGCGCTCCTCCCGTCCCCTCCTACCGGCGCTGCTCACACGGAGGTTCCCCGCTGCTCCCGGCACGTTGCTGTAAGAGGCGGGGGGCGCCGCACCGCGCGGTCCGGTCGTGAGGCGCCGGCCGACCGCACGGCTCCCCCTATGGGCGGATCTCCGCAGAGCGCCGCACCGTGTGGCGCTGCGTGCGCGCTGCCGAAGGAAGGACGGCTTTGGGATCTTTCCCCTCGTTGCGGGGCGCTTTTCCGTCGTTTGACCGCTGTACGGACGGGGCCCCAGGAGCGCGCTTCTGTACTCAGAGCGGGTGTGACTTTGAGCCACCGAAGGAACGGAGGCTCTTCGGTCTGGGGAAGAGGAGGCTGAGGGAGACATCACTGCTCTCTTGCGATACCTGAAAGATGATTGCATGAGAGCGGGGCTGCTCTCTTCTCACTGCTGACAGGACGAGGGGAAATGGCCTCAGGTTGTGCCAGGGGGGGTTTAGGTTGGATCTCAGGAAAAACTTCTTTACAGAAAGGGCTGTTAAGCAGTGGGATGGGCTGCCAGGGAGGTGGTTGAGCCACCATCCCTGGACGTGTTTAAAAACCGTTTGGATGTGGTGCTCGGGGACATGATTTAGTGGCAGGTATTTAAATGTAGAGTAGGATGCCTGGGTTGGGGTTGGACTTCATTATCCTGGGGGTCTTTTCCAAACGGGGCCGTTCTGTGATTCATTCAGGCCATGCCAGTCTACCGTCAGCCTCCGTTCTCCGCTGGCTTTACGCACCGGCCGTATGGGGCTGTTAAAGGTGAGTGGGTTTTGCTGATCACTCCCCGACTCTCTAGCTGACCAATCAACTCAGGAACGGGGAGCAAGGAGTCCCTGTTGGTGCGGTGCTGCCGTCTGCGCACCGTTTTTGTGGCAATCGGCACCTGCTGCTCTTTTACCCGAAGCAACCCCACAACAGAGGGATCTTCTGACAGGCCAGGCAGAACAGGCAGCTGCTTCACCTTGTCTGCGTCTGCAGCAGCTCCTCCTAAGGCCCATCAATACCCCTTGGGATCCTTGAAATGCCCCCTTGAAGTGCGGAATCAAACTCTGTAAGCCAAGATTGTAAGATTACAAAGCAGGTGAGGTTTATTCAGTGCTGCGCAGACACCGGGTGCAAGGGGCATCGATCCGCCTGGCTTGCACACCGTCTAGAGAAATCGTGCTACAGAAACAGGCGAAACTAATACATAATCAATAGTTTTCCCTGGATTCGGATCCATATTCCTTACACCCCGACAGTTCATTAGCGTGCAGACCCTCCCCTCTGCTGTGTGCATAGTGGGTCGTGGGATGAAGATTTGTTGTTTTCCTCGCAAAGGCTTCTGACCGTTTTCGCTGTCAACTCCTGGCCTTTCAGGGGGGGCTTCCCCCCAAACCGGTTTCTTCTCGCCCTGTGGACATCAAATCCCCTCCCTGCCAAATGTCCTCGGGCTGTTCTCAAACCTTATCTTTGGGGCCTTCATCCCCCTCACTGGCCCAGACACAGGGTCTGCCATCCCTTATTTTCTAACAAGCTCTACATTCCTGCTTCTATCAACTATCTCTAACTATTCCCCTTCACCCCCTTGTTCTCAGTCACCACGAAGCCTTCTTGCCTTTTGACTTTCACTTATGGGGCCCGTCTCACCTTCCACCCTCCCGAGGTAATCCATCCCCAGGATGCACGCAGCCCCTGGGCCAGCCCTGACCGTCACCGAGTCACCTCTGGATCCGTCTGGGACTGCGGCGACGGGACAGCAGAGCCTCAGGGCCAAAACCAGGGAGGGAACAAAGAGGGAAAGAAGGAAACCAAAACCAGGGTCCACCATCTCAGAAGGAAACTTAATTAACGGGTGCTGATAGCGGAAACAGAAGCGAGTTGGGATTGCGGCTGATGAACGAAACCAACGGAGCCGCGCCGTCACGTGACTCGGAGCCGCGCCGTCACGTGACTCGGAGCCGCGCCGCCTTCCCTCCGGGCGGAGCAGCGCAGCGGGGCCGGCGCTGGGAGCTGCAGTTCGGCTCCTCTGCGCCCCGCAGAGCCGCAAATATCCGCCGTGCCGGAACTGCGGCCCCAACTCCTTCACTGCCACTGCGCTGCACGGCGCTGTGATGTGGAGCCCTGATAACGAACATGGCAGAGCCGTCACTTTGCAGCCCTGATCCCACAGCACCGCCTCGTGTTGACAATTCACTCGCGTTAAACGCACACGCAGACGTGGGATCCTGGCCGCGCTCCCCCTTCCAGCAGCGCGTTCCCTTGGTGCGCACTGCACAGCCCCATTCCCGTCACCCACAGCTGCACCCTGAGCACAAACAGCCCCACGGGCAGCTCTGCCCTTTCCGGAGGCTGGAAGGCCCCCAGCCGCTTTGCCCAGCGCGTTCTTTACATGCAGGGACCTCATCTCCCGTGCAGCACGCAGGGAGCTGCATGGGCTGAGGCCAGCACGATCGATAGATCCGCTGCTATTGACCAACCAGGGGGCTTCTGCCCAATGCTTCTCCCAGAGCTGCAATGTTCCACCACCCGCTGCTTTCAACGTGGTTTTGAACAACCCACTGCAGCGTCTGATCTCACCAGAAGCTGTGCATGACAGGGGGTGTGAGAAATGCACTCAGCGCCATCGTCTTTGGCACAAATACCCACAAGGGAATGTTTGAAATGAGCCCCGTTATCTGACTCAATTCTCCCTGCACTGCCACGTCACCACAGCACGTCTTTCTCCAGACCCCACTTGGTGTTTCGGGCGCCAGCATGGGGTACTGCAGACGTTTCACAGCACCAGTGGTTGCCTCCACCGCGGTGAGCACATAACGCTTACCTTTATGGCTTCTGACAAGGTGACGGAGTCAACCTGCCACCCCTCCCCATATTCACATTTTGCCATCGCCTTCCCCCATCACAGGTTTCGTCCTCCTGCCTTGTGGAATTGCAGCACGTGTGTCACGGCCACGAATCAGCTGTGCAATAGTGTCCGCAGTTCAGCCCACCCCTGGGTCTGCAGCCCACTTCTATGCTGCATCCCCTCCCTGATGGCCCGAGGTCCCACGGGCCCAACGAGGTACAAATCATCCCTTCCCCCCTCCTGAGGGCAGGGCCCCCCCTCGCTTACCTGCAGTAAGTGGAGCAGTCGCACGCTGGTTGATCTCTGCTGTAATTCTCTCACCCGAGCTCGGAGCGCAGCCGTGGGTTTTTTACGCCACTCCTTCATGTCTTCTCCATGCTCACGTAAGTAACTCCACAAGGCAGCACGTGCCATACATCTACTGCTGTCGTTTGCTTGCGGGGGAGAGCGTTTGCCATGGATGGCTGAGATTTCGGGTGGCGCAGGTGAGGAGGAGGGTTCGTCGCCTTTAATCAGTGCGATCAGCTCCTTCAGCAGACTCGTTAGGTCCTGATCTTCGTTGGCTGTTTCTGACGCTGCCACGGGTTCACCACGATTCATCGACAGGGACGCTTCCTCTGGCACGCCGCCCTGTTTCCTCTCCTTTTTACCTACCGCCTTATCCATCCTCTTATCTGCTTTATCCATTCTTTCTGTTATTTCTGAGGTGGCTGAAACGTAACTGTGGAATAGAAGTAGTTGTTGTTCAAAGATCTGAAGTCTAATAATCAGTTCAATCACGGGGGGCCTCCTCTGTTGCTTCTCGTACCTATGGGACATGGATGCCAGCACACCCAGGTACCTTTCTGGTGCTGTTCTTGTCAGATTCCACACCACATCTGACGTGATCCACACATTCTCAGGATCACGGCGGTTCGGGCGTGGATCATTGGGGACGAACATGGGGTCATACAGCATCTCCACCACGGCCGTCTCTCTCAAATACTGGATACCTTCTTTAAGAGTCTTCCACCTCTTCACTTCAGGCTCCAGATCACCTTTGAAGGGATGCCGTTCCTTCACGGCCAATAACATTCGTTCCCAGAGGGTGGTGACCCCGCGCAGACATCTACTGATCCCTCTGTCCATAGCTGAGTCTCCGGCAATGCTGCCCAGCTGGCGAGCCCCGTTTCCATCTAGAAGCACGCTGCTGGCCCCGCTGTCCCAGCAGCGAAGCAGCCAGGTGACAACAGCTTCGTTTGGGTGCCGTACAAACTGCTCTCTTGAGCCGTGGAATTCAGTCACCTCCCGAGCTGGGCGAGCAGCGCTAACAGCGAATTCCTCCTCCTCACTCTCCTCTCCGCGGCTCTCAGCTCTTTCCGCTGCTGCTCTCGATGGCGGTGCTGTTGGGGACGGTCCCTCCTCTGCATCTTCCTCCGCTTCTTCCACTTCTTCTCCTCCTCTCTGTTCCACATGCGACGACACCGGGGGTCCCGACGCCCCCAAGTCCTGTCCTAAGCCTCCCCATTCTTGCTGCCGCTCAGCATTCTCTGCTTTGGGAGAAGACTTCTTCCACACGAAGTAGATGAGAAGGATGGAGAGGAAGACATTCAGGAGGATGGAGAACGCGATCCCCGATTCGGCATTCCAAACGTGCGTAAAGAACTGAGCAGAGAACCCGGAAAGCAGCCTGAGCACGGAGCTGCGCGTGAGATCGGCTGCTCGCAGCGGGAGGGACGGCTGCCAGGCAGAGATCTCCAGCAGCGCCCTGAACCGGTTCCATATCCCTACAACTCCCAAACTGCAAACGACGAACGCGATGAGAGACCAAAGCGTCCGGAGGAACGAGACGGCCTTTGTTGCAGCGCGCGGCGCTCCTGAAAGGAAGAACGGATTCATTGCAGCCGTCGGGAGAAGCAAGAAGGGAGCAGAGCTGAGCGCAGCGCGCGGCTCCGCCGCAACCAGCAGAGGCACGTGATCCCCGCAGGCCACGTGACCCCCCGCAGCGCCTCCCACCCCCCCAAACTCCCGATTCGCAGCGTTAACCCTTTAACTGCCGGAGCTTTCCGCGGTGTGCGGACGGGGAATAACGGCGACAGAAGGCGCCGAAGCGCCCCGCGGTGCTGCCAGATCCGCAGCGGCTGAGGTCGTGTCTGCAGCGGGAGAAAAGTTTGAGCGGCCACGGATGTCCAGAGCTGCCGGCGGAGCGAGCAAACGTTACGATTTTGTGCCCAGAAATCATTGCTAATAGGCATCGTCGCACCGAGCACAGCGAGGAAGAGTTCATGGAGAGCGCGAGCGAGGAGCAGCGCCTGGGGAAGGGAAGGACGCCGAGCAGACGGGAATGGGGCTGAAAGGACGGCAGGCGGCAGCGGAGAGCGAGGAACGGAGGCTGAGCGTTCGGACGTGTTTGCGGCCCTGCGCTGGACTGTTTGCAAGAGATCCCTGCCTTTTTTGCGCTGGGGAGCCCAGAACTGGGCCCGGTACTCCAGGCTCCTTGGGCAACCTGTTGCAGTGCCTCCCCGCCCTCTGGCTGAAAAACTTCCCCCTCGTATCCAACCCAAACCTCCCCTGTCTCACTTTAAAGCCATTCCCCCTTGTCCCATCACCATCCACCCTCACACACAGTTTTCAAGCACTGAAGGCCACCATGAGGTCTCCCCGCAGCCTTCCCTTCTCCAAGCCGAGCAATCCCAGTTCCCTCAACCTCTCCTGACACAGAGCTGCTCCAGCCCTCTGCCATCTCAGTGCCTCCTCTGGACCCGCTCCCAGAGCTCCACGTCCTTCCTGCGCCGGGTTCCCCAGGCCTGGGTGCAGCGCTGCAGAAGGGGCCTCATCTTGGAAAAGGACGAACCAGCAGTCGGGTTGGACAGCTGGGATCTGATGATTGAACTCTGAATTGCAACGGGGGAAGTTCAATAAGGGGAGGCCTGGTGATAAAGGAAACTGAGACTCCAAAGCCAGTGAGAGACCCAAGAGAGAGAATGAGGATAGCGGTTATAGGCATTGTTAATTAGTGTGTGAGATCCATCAGCGACGGCATCACCCAGCGATGCCCCAAATGACACCACGGCGCTCACAGCTGCGGAGCAGCGCCCCAACGGGAGGGAGGGAGGGGCGGGGCCGGCAGAGCGGCTGTCAATGAGAGGACGGACGGGGTGTGGGCGGGGCCTGCGGGGCAGCGCTCCAATGGGGAGGAGGAAGGCGTTGTGGGCGGCGCTTGGGCTTAGAGGCAGGTCTATGCTAATCAGAAGCGCGGGTGTCGGTGGGAGCAGCATCCACCCACGCCGCTAAGCCTGACGCTGTCGTGATAACGGCGGTGTGAGAGCGGAGCGGGAGCGGGGCGGGGTGGGGAATGGTGCTGAGGCGGCGGGGGAGGGTGGGTGCGTGCGGCGCGTGCGCGTCCGTGAGATGTTGGGGGTGGGCGTTGGGGTGGGTGGCGTCCGGGCAGCGACGAAGGCATCGCTTCTCGGCCTTTTGGCTAAGATCAAGTGTAGTATCTGTTCTTATCAGTTTAATATCTGATACGTCCTCGATGAGAGGACTTTATATTAAACGGATTTTTGGGCGCGGGGGTTGGACCCGGAGCTTGCTCCCTCCGCTCCGCGCATCGTCCCGGTATGGCAGTACCTCCGGGCACGGTGCAGCTCCCCCACGGGAGGAGTGTTGGTGGTGAAGGGCAGAGCTGGGGGTGCTGTGTTCCCGCACGGGGCGCTGCTGGGCCGCATTCGGCGGAGGGTTGCCGCTGCCTGCGCTGCTTTGGCGGAGGAGCAGCGGGGGGGGAGATCGGTCCCGGTTTTCCGCCCTTGGGAGCCCCTTCCGGGAGCCGTGGGGCTGCGGGAGCGGGGCCGGAGAAGGGCACGCTGATGGGTGGGTGCTGCAGCTGTGTGTGGCGAAAGGCCGACGGAGGGGCTGTGCAGCCTGGAGCAGGGACGGCTGCGGGGAGACCGCGCTGCGGCTGTCGGTGCCTGAAGCGCAGCAGGAGAAGCGGCTTTGTGTGCGGGCAGAGAGCGGTGAGATGAAGGGGGGACGGTGTTAAACTGAAAGAGACTGAGGTCAGATGGGCACCTCGTGGTTTGTTCTCTGGTTCCAGCAACCTCCTGCAGGATATCCTTGCAAAGTGTATCAGAAAATGTTACATACGTATTGGTGCTGTTCAGGCACAGCCTGTTGCTGCCTGTGCATGTACGTGGTAATTATTTACCTTCTCCTCCTCTTATTCTCTATTACTCGGGTCTTGTCTGTGCAGCACCAAATGCTGGCAGTTCTCCAACATCGGGGTCTTTGATCTGTCCCACCTGCCCTTAACTGAAGGCTCAGATGTGTTTCAGATGGACGGACAGACAGGAGCTGCAGCCTCTGTGCCTGCAGCCACCTGCATCCACCTCATCTCCACGCCTATAAATCACTGCCCTGTGCACTGAGCGCGCATTGCTGGGGAAGCTTCACCTAGAGCACAAGTGATGGAAACTATCAGAGACCCCCAGGAAAACAGAAAGACGCCCAAAAAGGGCCGTGGCGGCAGAGTCCATGAAATAAAAACTCTTACCTTGCCCTAACGCAGAAGCAGCATTCGATTCCCACAAAACTGAACTGAAAGAAGTGAAACTGAGGTGGGATGTGGGGAAATCCTTCACCCGAGGCGGTGCGGCGCTGGCACCGCTGCCCAGAGCTGTGGGTGCCCCATCCCTGGAGCTGCCCGAGGCGTGGATGGGAGCCGGGCAGCCCGAGCTGGGGGCACACAGCCCGCAACGGGGATTTGGAGCTCGCTGATGCTTTCAATCCCTTCCAACTCGACCCATCGCTCCTCACACCCTGCCGGGGCCGTCCGGCACAGCTGGGTCCGTACGCGGTGCCGTCGCTCTGCCGGCCGCAACCCCTCCCGTGCTGCCCGGCTGCGTCCTTTTGGCGCTGCCGGAACGGAGCTGCCGCGTGCGGGGAGGGGGGAGAAGAACAGCCGCTCCTCGGGGCTGTGCGGGCACGGAGGGCAAACGGAGGGCGAGGAGGGGCGGAGGAGCCGAGAGTCACACACAGCGACCGCTGAGCGCCGGAGAGAACGGCCGGATTTATTGCAGCAAAGCGGCCGAGCGGCACCTCGTGCGACGGGAAGCGGAAGGAAAACGAAGAGACGGAAAGCAGGCGGCTCGCACCGCGCCCGGCTTCGGGCAGCGCTGCGCTGCTCTGCGCTGCACCGCGTGGCATCGATGTGCGAGAAAAGGGGCGGCTCCGTATGGCCGAACAGAGAGAGGGGGGAACGCGCTGCAGAACCGAGCCGAGAGCGCCCGGAAGACGCCTGCGAGCGGAGGGAGCGCCGCCGTCGTCCCGGGTAGGGCATCCCCCGCACGGCACGGCAGACGGAGCGCGCAACCCCGGCCCCGCCGTCTCCCCGCCCCCAGCACGGCCCCCACCGCAACCGATCGCAGTGCGCACGCGCAGCAGCACCGCCGGACGGAGGCGGGAGGGGCGGGGCTGGGGGCGGGACCCACGGCGAAGGGGGGGGGGCTATGCTAATTTGCGGCGCAGGGGCCGCCGGTAGCAGTTCACAAACGCGAAGAACCGAGGAAACGGCGGGCAGCCACTGGGGAGGAGCGGGAGCGAAGCCGTTCGGCGCAGTGTGGGGAGCGGCGGTGGGGCGGCGGGGGAGGGTGGGTGCGGGCAGAGCGTGCGCGTCCGTGAGATATCGGGGGTGGGCGTTGGGGTGGGTGGCGTCCGGGCAGCGAGGGAGGCATCGCTTCTCGGCCTTTTGGCTAAGATCAAGTGTAGTATCTGTTCTTATCAGTTTAATATCTGATACGTCCTCGATGAGAGGACTTTATATTAAACGGATTTTTGGGCGCGGGAGTTGGACCCGGAGCTTGCTCCCTCCGCTCCGCGCATCGTCCCGGTATGGCAGTACCTCCGGGCACGGTGCAGCTCCCCCACGGGAGGAGTGTTGGTGGTGAAGGGCAGAGCGAAGGCGCTGTTTGCTGCCGAGGGAGCAGTGGCTGCTGTGCTCCCGCACGGGGCGCTGCTGCCCGCTGTTCTCGGCGCTGGGCGCTGCTCGGACGGCGGGGGCGCCCGGAGCCGCTGCTGGAGCCTCCCTGTCGCTGCTGGCCGCCCCGTTTTCGTGCAGCCCGGATCACGGTTGTCCTTCCGGGCTGCGAGCGCACACTGCTGGCTCGGGCCCAGCTTCTGCTCCGCCAGGACCCCCAAGTCCTTCTCCGCACGGCTGCTCTCAAGGACATCTTCGCCCAGCCCGCATCAACAGCTGCCATTGCCCCGACCCGCTGCAGCACCCTGCGCTTGGCCTTATTGCCCTCATCACGTTTTCACGGCCCGCTTCTCCAGCCTGTCCAGGCGCTGGCACCGCTGCCCAGAGCTGTGGGTGCCCCATCCCTGGAGCTGCCCGAGGCGTGGATGGGAGCCGGGCAGCCCGAGCTGGGGGCACACAGCCCGCAACGGGGATTTGGAGCTCGCTGATGCTTTCAATCCCTTCCAACTCGACCCATCGCTCCTCACACCCTGCCGGGGCCGTCCGGCACAGCTGGGTCCGTACGCGGTGCCGTCGCTCTGCCGGCCGCAACCCCTCCCGTGCTGCCCGGCTGCGTCCTTTTGGCGCTGCCGGAACGGAGCTGCCGCGTGCGGGGAGGGGGGAGAAGAACAGCCGCTCCTCGGGGCTGTGCGGGCACGGAGGGCAAACGGAGGGCGAGGAGGGGCGGAGGAGCCGAGAGTCACACACAGCGACCGCTGAGCGCCGGAGAGAACGGCCGGATTTATTGCAGCAAAGCGGCCGAGCGGCACCTCGTGCGACGGGAAGCGGAAGGAAAAAGAAGAGACGGAAAGCAGGCGGCTCGCACCGCGCCCGGCGCCAAGCTGCATTAGAAAGCAAAGGACCGAGGAGCAAAATTGGGAGGTGAATGGGAAGCGATCCAAACGCTGAGCGGCTCCGTGTCCGGAGCCCTGCGTCGCACCCACCGACCTCCGAACGCCAATAGCGGCTCCGGGCGCCCCCGCCGTCCGAGCAGCGCCCAGCGCCGAGAACAGCGGGCAGCAGCGCCCCGTGCGGGAACACAGCAGCCACTGCTCCCTCGGCAGCAAACAGCGCCTTCGCTCTGCCCTTCACCACCAACACTCCTCCCGTGGGGGAGCTGCACCGTGCCCGGAGGTACTGCCATACCGGGACGATGCGCGGAGCGGAGGGAGCAAGCTCCGGGTCCAACTCCCGCGCCCAAAAATCCGTTTAATATAAAGTCCTCTCATCGAGGACGTATCAGATATTAAACTGATAAGAACAGATACTACACTTGATCTTAGCCAAAAGGCCGAGAAGCGATGCCTCCCTCGCTGCCCGGACGCCACCCACCCCAACGCCCACCCCCGACATCTCACGGACGCGCAAGCGCCGCACGCACCGACCCTCTCCCGCCGCCCCACCGCCGCTCCCCACATCTCAGCCACCCCGCACCGCTCCCGCTCCGCTCTCACACCGCCGTTATCACGACAGCGTCAGGCTTAGCGGCGTGGATGGATGCTGCTCCCACCGACCCCCGCGCTTCTGATTAGCATAGACCTGCCTCTAAGCCCAAGCACCGCCCACAACGCCTTCCTCCGCCCCATTGGAGCGCTGCCCCGCAGGCCCCGCCCACACCCCGTCCGTCCTCTCATTGACGAACCGCTCTGCCGGCCCCGCCTCTCCCTCCCTCCCATTGGGGCGCTGCTCCACAGGCTCCGCCCCCGCTCAGCCACGCCCCTTTGGCCTCGCCCCGCCCACCACCCTTCTCTCGCTCCCTCCCTCCCGTTCGTTCGCTGCTGCGGTTTGGCGGCGGCGCCGGGCTGTGAGGATAAGGAGCGGCTTAACGCAAGAGATCCGTGAGCGCCATTTCTACAACTTCCCGGTTCACCTTTCTGCGGTGCGAGCAGCGATCTGATTGGAACTGAGTTACTGGGCAGGAATGAACGTGGGTGCCAACGCACCGCGTGTGCGCCGCTCAGCTGCTGCGGTGCAGAGCCGGAACTCTGAGCGCGTGCACTGCTGTGTCACATCGCCCGGTCCTGTGTGAGGAATGAAGGAATGCCACTTTCTGACACTGCACTGGGGTCACGGCGTTTTCTTCCTGGATTTCAGGGGTCTGCAGCACCGTCACAGCACTGCAGCACCGCGCTGTGCCCATCCCTGGCACCAACCCTCACTGGCAGCAGCAAAGCTGCTATGACAGCAGTGTCCTATCAGCCCCGCGGCGGGTATTCCCTTCTGCCCAGGGGTTCCTACAGATGGAGCTGCAAAGCTGCCGAGCTCCGGATGCAGAGCGAGCGCTGCAGAGGTGTTGGTGGCACGGTGGTGGAGCGGGGTGCTGATGCCCTTCGTGCTGGTGATCGCTGGGGTCTTTCTGTGCACATCAGAGATTTCTCCGTGCTGCATTATCACACTGCTCATTGACTGGCATTGCCCTGAGTGCAGCACACAGCAATGGATGCGGGCTGTGGGATGCAGTCGGGGTGCTGAGCCGTTGGCCTTTGGGCTGTAGGAAATCCCTAGGCAGTGCTGCACAGCACCCGTTGTTCCAAGCCTGCCCTGCAAGCACAGTTCCCATGTCCACGCAGCAGTGTGCTCTCCAATGCCCACAGATCTATGGCAGTTCCTTTCTGTCCTCATTTCCATCCTTACATGTGTGGAATTTTGTCTGTCTGTCCTTCCTGGCTCGCTCTCCCCAGCCCCATTTACACGCTGTGCCGGCGGTTGTTGATCATGGCCACGATGTGAGACAGATCCAAACTCTTCATCATCACCTCCATGAACTCGTCGTCCTTCCTTGCTCCCTCCACAAATTCATCCAGGGAAAGTTCCCCTGTGGGGCACAGACAGAGCAGAGTGGGACGGGGGCTCTCAGGGGGGTTTCTGCCTTTCCCTATGGGTGGATGCCAGGCTGGATGTGGCTCTGGGCAGCCTGGTCTGCTGGTTGGTGACCCTGCACATAGCAGGAGTTGGAAACAAGATGATCCTTGTGGTCCTTTTCAACCCAGACCATTCTGTGATTCTATGATCTTTAGAGGCACTGCCAGCAAGCAGCACCTGCTCCTCCCTCTGCCATCAGCTACACCCAAAAAGGGACAAAGAAACCCTACAGAATGCATACAGACAAAATACAGCCAAGGACTGGGTACAGGGAATGAATCCCATTGCACCCATTATGTGTGGTGGAGGAGAAAAGCTTCTCTGCAAAGTGCGTGGCTTCGTGTGAGAAGGAAACACAAAAGGAAAAGACGCACAGATGAAGCAAAAGAGGAGCCACAGGATCAGAGAATTGGTTTGGGTTGGAAGAGACCTTAGGGATCGTTCGGTTCCAATCCCCGCCAGGGGAGGGACGCCTCTCCATGGAGCTCACAGCCCCATCCCGCCTGGGAGCACGGGCAGCTGTGTGGCATTGGGGCATCTCAGTGGGGTGGCAGCAGGGCTGGGGTGGCAGCAGGGCTGGGGTGGCAGCAGGGTGTTTCTCACCGTCTCCGTTCACATCGATTTTGTTGAAGACGCGGTTGGTGAACTCCTCTGCGCTCGTCTCGTGGTCGCCACCATTGATGGCACGGATGGCCTGGAAGAGCAGAGCAGGATAGGAAAACACCATGGGAATCCTCAACCCTGACAGCTGGCCTAGAGGGGAAGGAGGCTCTGCAGTGTGGGAGGAGCGAAAGGCAAATGGGATCCTGGGCTCCATCAGCAGAGGGGTGGTCAGCAGGGACAGGGAGGTGATCGTCCCTCTCTACTCGGCTCTTGTGAGGCCCCATCTGGAGTCCTGTGTCCAGGTGTGGAGCCCTCAGTACAAGAAAGACATTGAGATGTTGGAAAGGGTCCAGAGGAGGGCGACTGAGATGAGCAGGGGGCTGGAGCACCTCCCCTATGAGGACAGGCTGAGGGAGTTGGGCTTGTTCAGCTTGGAGAAGAGAAGGCTGCGGGGTGACCTCAGTGCAGCCTATCGATAGCTGAAGGGAACCTACAGCCAGGAGGGGAGTAAACTCTTCAGAAGGGCTGACAACAGCAGGACGAGGGGAAATGGATCCAAGTTGAAGGAGGGAAGATTGAGGTTGGATGTTAGGGGGAAGTTCTTCACAAGGAGAGTGGTTGGGCCCTGGAACGGGCTGCCCAGGGAGGTTGTGGATGCCCCGTCCTTGGCCGTGTTCAAGGCCAGGTTGGACGGGGTCCTGGGCAACCTGATCTGATGTGGATGTTTGGTGGCCCTGCTGGGCAGGGGGTTGGAACTGCGTGATCCTTGAGGTCCCTTCCAACCCAGGTGATTCTGTGATTCTGTGATTCTGTGAGCGGGTCGGACCTGAGAGCTGCCCTACATTGGGTTGGGTGGAATGGAAGCACTGCTGATAGGGCAGAATGGGGATCCTGGGTGAGATCTGCCCCGAGTTTGGTCAGCGGTGGGGCAGAGCAGGGGTGGAAACCAACATCTGTGCTGCGTCCCGAGAGCTGCTGTGTGAGTAGAGGTGTCCCTCTGGAACACAGCAACCAGCCCAGCCAAGGGCAGGTTGGTCCTCAGTGGGGTGTGGGGGAAGGTGGGGGAAGAGTCAGGATCTGACAGGTGAAAGTGAAACGTGGAGTAACACCTTGGACAGGGTAAGGAGGAGAAAACAAGGGAAAATGAGGGGAGAAGGGGGAAATGGGGGACAGCAAAAGAAAAAGGAGAAAATAAACCACAAGGAAGTGGAGGAAAAGCAAACGAACAAAAGAAAATGGAGGGGAAAAAAAACAAAACAAAAGAAAGCGAAGGAAAAAAAGAACACAAAATAAAAGAGAAAAATGAAACCAAAAGAAAATGGAGGGGAAAAAAAAAACAACAAAAGAAAATGGAAAAACACAAAAGAAAACAAGGAAAAATAGGGGATGTGAGATGAAAATGGGGAAAATCAAAAGAAAATGGGGAAGAAAAAGAAAACAGAAGAAAACAAGGAAAAATGGGGGAATAAGGGGAAAAACAAGGAAAAAACAGGGGAAAGGTGAGAAGATGGGGAGAGCTTTTGAAAACCAGGGGAAAAATGGAAAACTGGGAAAAGAAACATTGGAAAACTGAGGGAAAACAATGGAAAAGTTGGGAGAACTGGGGAAAAGAATGGTGAGCAGGGAAAATAAGGGGAGAAGAGTGGAAAGCAGTGGAAAACAAGGAAAAAAGAGAGGAAATAATGGAAATGGATTAAAATAGACAAAAACGAGGGAATGCAAAGGGAAACCAGGGAAAGTCAAGTGAAAACCAGAGAAAACAGGGAAAGACCATTGGAAATGGGAAAAGAAGGGAAAAGAAAACTCTTGAATATGGGGCAAAAGAGGGGAAAAGAGGGGGAAAGAAGTGCCTCCAGCGTGAGGCTCTGCGAATATCGCCTGTGGAACGGCCGTTTCCTATCCCTTCTCTTCTTTTGCTCTTTTCAGCCTTTGTAGGAGCCGTTGCCTAACACTGTCTTGCCTGTAATGCCTATTGATTGTAATTAGCAAATTGGCCAATTTTAGCTCCAAGAAAAGTGTTCGTTGTTTGGTTCTTCGTCCTTTATTAGTTCAGCGTCTTTCTAAGCTCCAATGGAAGAGACCAAACGGGGACCCTCTGATTGCTGCCATGAAGCCGCTGCTGTTGCATTGAGGGACATTGAGGGGCTGAGCCTAAAAGGAGGGACTGATGGAGGGCATTCCCTGTATCTGCTCCTCCTCTTTGCAGCTCCTGCATGGAGGTTGTGTTCTCAGCCTCTGCTCCCAGGGAATGGGGGTGGGAGATGATGGGCTCAGGGTGCAACGGGGGGGTTGGCTTGGAATTGGGAACAACCTGTGCTGCAAAGAGCCGTCAGCACTGCACAGCTGCCCAGGGCAGCCCCCATCCCTGGGGCTGTTCCAGGACCACTTGCTGAGGACTCACCTTAATGATGTTGAGCAGCTCGTGGCGGTCGATGCAGCCGTTCCCATCCACGTCGTACAGCTTGAAGTACCAGCGCAGCTTCTGCTCCATCTTCCCGCGCAGCACCAGGCTGAGGGCTGCCACGTACTCCATGAAGTCGATGTACCCATCCTGGGGCAGAACAGAGCTTACAGACAAAGCTTACAAACAAAGGGAGCCATCAGTGCCTCTGTGCCGTGATGAGGAGGAGCTCCTCGGCCTGGAACCCAGCACCACTCTGCGCTCCCGAGGTTTAAAGCCAGCTTAAATCTGGATTGGGAATCTCCGATCCACTCCTCTCACCATCATTGCTCCCTGTACCTGGGTTTTGTCTCAGGATGATGGAACCTGAAGTGGAACTTGGCCTCAAGATGGGGTTCATTGCAGCACACGGAGCTCATGGGAGAGCTCTGAGCAGCGCTGCATCTCTGGGTGGGTGGTCGCTTCTGAACCTCCCAAGGAAGGGCAGCAGGGAGGGGGAACAAGAAACACAGCTGTTAATTAACAGAGCTGCTTCTCAGCACTGTCGTTACTGGGACACGGTGTTGGGAGGAGGAGCATTTGGGGAGACAGCCAGGGGTCCTGGTGTCCTGGCCCTGGTGTAGGAGCCACGTGGGATTGATGGAATCCATGGAACACCTGGAAACTGCTTCCTCCAGAGTGTTGTAAAGGTCTGTATGGTATGTGAGTCTGGGATTTGAATCCAGAATTTGAGCCTTTACTGTCTAATGTATGCATTACTGAAGGACAGTGAAAGGCTCAAGAAAGCTCCAGCTTCCAGCCTCACCTCCTCCTGCTGGCATCTCACGGGCCAAACGAGCTCAAACCAATTAACACAATGCAGTGATATCTCGAGATTCGTAGGTGAACTTGAACGAGGCTGTTAGACAGCGAGAAGTTACTCCCTATGGCTGTCACCCGTGTCATTGACGCACGCTGATTTGCCCCTTGCATTCTGCTGCCTTACACCAACACCCCTTGGCATTGTGACACAAAGCCCCAAACTGCCCAATGCTGCTGGGGTTGGTTTGCTGTTAGGGGTCGTTACTGATGGTCTGGATGAGGGGATTGAAGGCATCCTCAATAAGCAGGGATGTAAGTAAGTAGGGGTTGGTTTCTATCCACAGGGAATGGTGATGGGATGGGAGGGGACCACAGGATCACAGAATGGCCTGGGTTGGAAGGGACCCCAAGGATCATGAAGCTCCAACCCTCCCACCGCAGGCAGGTCCGCCAACCTCCACATTTCATAGCAGCCCAGGCTGCCCAGGGCCCCATCCAACCTGGCCTCCAACGCCTCCAGGGATGGACGGGGCATCACAGCCTCTCTGGGCAGCTGTTCCAGCAAGAAACACCAACTGTGATGTGTTCAGGGCAGGAGGGACTGCCATTCGTCACCTCATAGTCAGACCTTTGTCCCAGGCAACAGCAATAGGATGGGAGGGGATGGGCTCAGGGTGCAACGGGGAGGGTTGGGTTGGAATTGGGAACAACCTGCAAAGAGCCGTCAGCACTGCACAGCTGCCCAGGGCAGCGGGGAGCCCCCATCCCTGGGGGTGTTTGGTGAGCACAGGAATGTGGCACTGGGGGAGGTGGGATGGATCCAGGTTGGACTGGGGATCTCAGAGCTCTTTGTCAACCTGATTCCACAGTTCTGTGTTTCTCTGGTTCTACAGGGCGCATCCTTTCTCGCAGAGAACTCACCTTGTTCATGTCGAAGGTACGGAACATCTGCTCGATGTACTCGTTGGCCTGGGGGTCCAAACCCCGCAGCCCGAAGAACTGCTTGAACTCATGCTCTGTCAGCTGCCCGGAGGGACACTCTGTCATGAACTTCTTGTACCAATGGTGGATCTCCACTGCCTGCAGGTCGTCCACCGTGGAGCTGTTGTTGTTTCCCATGGCCAGTGATAGGAACCCTGCAGGAACGGTCCTCCCCGTCCCGCTGCTCTCACAGCAATGCCCCTTTGCTTCCGTCCACGTTCAATGTTAGTCCCAAAGTGAAAACCTCTGACCTTCCCCAAGCCCATTAGAAACGTTAATCTGCTTAGAGGCTGCTTTACAGACTCCTGAAGTTTCAATGATACAAACATTCCGCTTAGAATGAAAAGAAGGTGTGAGATAATCCAGCAAAGCTCTGCTATTCCAGGAGCTGCATTGGGGTGAGGAGGTTAAGCAGATGCCTCAGAGCTGCTCTGCTTTTGGACGCTGCCCTATTTTTAACCTTGGTATAATTAGACACAAAGATGAGATGGAAATGCTGCAGGAAGCGAGGTTTGGTGGGGGGTGAAGGTCTGCCCCTCTGTCTGGATTTGTAGACTTGGAGGTCATGGGTAATTTGGCGTATAGGACCAAGAATGACCCATCAGCATCAGGCCTGTGGGAAAAGTCCTGTCTCCACACACAGCACAGATGGGGAACCAGACCTTGCTGTGACTCTGCTGGCCCCAGAAACACGACGGAGGGGCAGCGAACCCCTGCAGAACCCATCTCACAGAGCACAAAGTGGTGCTGCCAGGGAACACCACTAACCATAGAATCACAGAGCCATAGAATGGCCTGGGTTGCAAAATGCCCACAGTGCTCATCTGGTTCCAAGCCCCTGCTGTGTGCAGGTCGCCAACCAGCAGCCCAGGCTGCCCAGAGCCACATCCAGCCTGGCCTCCAATGCCTGCAGGGATGGGGCATCCACAGCCTCCTTGGGCAACCTGTGCCAGTGCCTCACCGCCCTCTGCATGAAAAACTTCCTCCTCATATCCAACCCAAACCTCCCCTGTCTCAGTTCTGGACATTTTAACTCCCCCTGCCTCTCAGCCTCCTTTTTACAACACAGCTTCATCTCAAAGTACCTCACACACCAAATTGCTCAGCATGGCCCTGGTGCTTGCAAAACCTTTGTGTTCCTAGGGGAGGCCGTGGGCAGAGTCCAACTCTGCCTCTGTTGCCCACGTTGCTGACACCAAATCTCAGGTTTTGTTCATGTTCAGTCTAAGTGTATTTTAAAACACTGCAAAGGGTTGTAAATCATTACTCAGCACTGGGGAGTATCTGGTGCCTTGAGCACTCACAACAAGTGGAATCTGGAAAGAAACAGTAAATGAAAAGCTATTTTTGTGCAGAAAGACTCCGTGATATGCAACAACTGCCATGAATCACATAATTGGCAGCTTGTGGGCAAAACAAAATGCATACCATTTTGTTAACAATTTGTAGGAATTAGTTTCTACTTTGAGAATAGATCAACCCACTGCAAATGCCATGGCAGAAAGTTTTACTAGTAGACAAAGGAAACTTGCTTTGCTACCAGTCAGATCTTTTTTCCAGCTGAAGGACACAGGAGGTGACAAAGCCTCGCTCTGTGCTGCCAGTGAGAATCTGTGCAGTCTCATTTTTTCAAGAGGCAGATTGATTTTTGCAGCACCAGGGCCAAATGAACGGAGCCTTTTGTGGGAGGAGACACGAGGGCTGCTTTTCCTAGCAGGGCTGTCATCTTGTTTTAATTTTTCTTATTAATGGTGTAAACTCATCTTGCAAATCTTACAACAGTGTATGCTGATGAACAGGGAAATGTATTTTGGCATCCTTGACCAGTTCATCGAACCTAGCTGTTGGGTACTCTTCTAGATACTGAAGAATGTCCCTAATGTGTAACCAGGTATGTGGTGATAAGTGGAAAGAGTTTTCTTCCCAGTTCCAGGATAAATAATTAATGAAAGAAGATCATCCCCAGCTTCTTCTGGGGCTGTCAGGACCAGTCAGCAGAGCACCTGGCTGTGGGTCACTGCCCAGGCTGTGGGGGTGGGGATGGGCACTGGGGGGCTGCACAGGTCTGGCTGTCCTCAAAGGTCTCATCCAACTGAACTGGTCTATTCCTATTCTAGTCCAGTCTGGTGTATTCCCATTCCATTCCACTCCACTCCACTCCATTCCACTCCATTCCACTCCATTCCACTCCATTCCATTCCATTCCATTCCATTCCACACCACTCCACTCCATTCCACTCCACTCCATTCCACTCCACTCCATTCCATTCCATTCCATTCCATTCCATTCCATTCCATTCCATTCCATTCCACTCCACTCCATTCCACTCCACTCCACTCCATTCCACTCCATTCCACTCCACTCCATTCCATTCCATTCCATTCCATTCCATTCCATTCCACTCTACTCCACTCCACTCCACTCCATTCCATTCCATTCCATTCCACTCTACTCCATTCCACTCCACTCCATTCCATTCCATTCCATTCCATTCCATTCCACTCTACTCCATTCCATTCCATTCCACTCCATTCCATTCCACTCCACTCCATTCCACTCCACTCCACTCCATTCCACTCCATTCCACTCCACTCCATTGCACTCCATTCCATTCCATTCCATTCCATTCCATTCCACTCCACTCCATTCCATTCCATTCCATTCCATTCCATTCCATCCCATCCCATCCCATCCCATCCCATTCCATTCCATTCCATTCCATTCCATTCCATTCCATTCCACACCACTCCACTCCATTCCATTCCATTCCATTCCATTCCATTCCATTCCACTCCACTCCACTCCATTCCATTCCATTCCATTCCATTCCGCTCCATTCCATTCCATTCCATTCCACTCCATTCCACTCCACTCCATTCCATTCCACTCCACTCCACTCCATTCCATTCCACTCCATTCCACTCCATTCCACTCCACTCCACTCCATTCCACTCCACTCCATTCCATTCCATTCCATTCCATTCCACTCCATTCCACTCCATTCCGCTCCACTCCACTCCATTCCATTCCATTCCATTCCATTCCATTCCACTCTACTCCATTCCACTCCACTCCATTCCATTCCATTCCACTCTACTCCATTCCATTCCATTCCACTCCATTCCACTCCATTCCACTCCACTCCATTCCATTCCATTCCATTCCATTCCATTCCATTCCATTCCATTCCATTCCACTCCATTCCATTCCACTCCACTCCACTCCATTCCACTCCACTCCATTCCATTCCATTCCACTCCACTCCACTCCATTCCACTCCACTCCATTCCACTCCATTCCACTCCACTCCACTCCACTCCACTCCACTCCACTCCACTCCACTCCACTCCATTCCATTCCATTCCATTCCACTCCACTCCACTCCACTCCATTCCATTCCATTCCGCTCCACTCCACTCCACTCCACTCCACTCCACTCCACTCCATTCCATTCCATTCCACTCCACTCCACTCCACTCCATTCCATTCCATTCCATTCCACTCCACTCCACTCCATTCCACTCCACTCCATTCCACTCCATCCCATCCCATCCCATCCCATCCCATCCCATCCCATCCCATCCCATCCCACTTTCTAATCCCCCTTTCAGGTGAGGGGCTCTGCTTTCTGTGCACGTCCTCCCATGGAGCTGTGTCTGTGTGTCAGCATGCAGTCCTGTGCTCAGCAAATAGCACTGTGGGGCAGCCACCAAACTCATGGATTGATTTGGGAACCAGGTGTGTGACTGCATGGAGCATGGGGCTGTATGGGGCTGTATAGGGATGTATGGGGTGCACAGGGCTGTACAGCATATGGGATACAGAGCTACTATGGGAATGTGTGCAGTAGGGGCTGGATGACATATAGGGCTGCATGGGACTGTATGGGGTATGGGGTTTATGGGAGTAAAGAGCTGCATGAGGACGCAGGGCTGTATGGAACCATAGTGTTGTATGGGACCATGGAAGTGTATGGTGGCACAGGGCTGTATGGTCACATAGGGCTGTGTGGGGGTTATAGGGCCATATGGGGGGGTATAGGGCTGTCTGGGGCCAGTGAGCTGTATGGGGTACAGGGCTATATGGGAGCAAGGAGCTGGATCATGAGGTTGTATGGGGACACAGGGCTGAGTGGGGCCAAGAAGCTGTATGGGAGCATAGGGATGTATGGGGGCCATAGGACTGTATGGGGCCACGGGGCTGTATGCGGGCAGGGGGCTGTATGGGGCTGTATGAAGCTATATGGGGCTGTATGGAGCTATATGGAGCTGTATGGGGCTGTATGTGGGCAGGGGGCTGTATGGGGCTGTATGAGGCTATATGGGGCTGTATGGAGCTATATGGAGCTGTATGGGGCTGTATGTGGGCAGGGGGCTGTATGGGGCAATATGGAGCTGTATGGGGCTCTATGTGGGCAGGGGGCTGTATGGGGCAATATGGAGCTGTATGGGGCTGTATGGAGCTGTATGGGGCTGTATGTGGGCAGGGGGCTGTATGGGGCAATATGGAGCTGTATGGGGCTGTATGGAGCTGTATGGGGCTGTATGTGGGCAGGGGGCTGTATGGGGCAATATGGAGCTGTATGGGGCTTTATGGAGCTGTATGGGGCTGTATGAGGCTATATGGGGCTGTATGGAGCTATATGGAGCTGTATGGGGCTCTATGTGGGCAGGGGGCTGTATGGGGCAATATGGAGCTGTATGGGGCTGTATGTGGGCAGGGGGCTGTATGGGGCAATATGGAGCTGTATGGGGCTGTATGGAGCTGTATGGGGCTGTATGTGGGCAGGGGGCTGTATGGGGCAATATGGAGCTGCATGGGGCTGTATGGGGCTGTATGGAGCTGTATGGGGCTGTATGGGGCTGTATGTGGGCAGGGGGCTGTATGGGGCAATATGGAGCTGTATGGGGCTGTATGGAGCTGTATGGGGCTGTATGGGGCTTTATGGAGCTGTTATGGGGCTGTATGGCCCCGTGCACTTATGGCACCGTGTAACAGTTTCAGCAGAGTCAACTCCCATTCACGTCATCCAGGGCGCATTAACGGAACGTAATGAGGATGAAAGTGAAATAAATTAGCCGTAGGCAGCTGGTAATTAGAGAAATTGCTCTCTCCCAGCTAATTAAAGCGAAACAAA